GTATATTCTTATCTTAATTATACTTACGCCCGAGTGAAGCGAGAAGAACCTATTTTCCCGCACCAGTTAGCTAAGGTACTAATCTGTTGTTTAAAATACTAGTTATCGAACAGTTATTTCGAGTAACTTTTTTGAAAAAACAACTCGAATATAAAATTTTAGTTGAGTCACCTTCTAAATGTATAATCGCTTTTAGCTCTGAAGTACTAAACATGACTCTTGGATTGTAGTTTAAACATAAAATCTTTATTAATGCCATTTTTTCCGACGGCTATGATACCGTATAGTCCAATAAAGGTAGACTTGCAAGAGGAAAATCGTTCTGGTACGATTTATATAAGAATAAGTAGAAATTGGTGAAAATAACCTTAAGTGTTTGCCATTCATTGCTATTTTTGAACTAGTTGATTCTGATTGATAAAGAAGATTAACGATTGAAACAATATTATCAGACATAAATAGTATGTGTAATTTATTTACCTGGAAAGATCTCAATTTATCGCTATAACTTATACTTGTATTCCTGTACCAACACACGCGGATGGTTGTGTTACTCCTTTGTGACGTTTTGGCTCCTCCGTAACTGGAGCGACTTCGTCCGAACCGTCTACCAATTCGTCAACTGACCCTAAGATTGTAATCGATCATTAATAATAGGTGCAAACAAGATCCGAATAAATTCCGTTGAAAAATGTAAAACTAACTACAAGTTTCTAAATTAAGGTACGACATCTTTCTATCCTGCGAATCGGTTTGCGTAATAGCGTATTTTTAATCTTCAATCCACCTATGTTTTTCCTCCTCACTACTTAAAACGACTATCAATGATCTACGTAAAAAATACAACTAACAATACTTTTTTGACTTTTACTAGCTTCACGCTTCGCGCGCTCTATTTTTATTTTTCTGTTATCTATATTATCATATAATCTTATACATAATTTTGTTATCTATTATCTGTTCGTGGTATAGTAATATTCTATTATCACACAATCATAACCGTAGTCATTAATAATGGTTTTGTGAACTTTAGTATTACTATTAGTAATATCTTTTAATATTGAATGTTCTCTGGTGTCCTTGTTGAAAATGCCAATGAACATTTTTTAAATTTAATATTTTGATAATTATTTTCCATTTCTCACAAAACTGTCACTTTACAAATGTAAACAAATTAAAATGGAATTTTCTCCATTTTATTCTATTAAATTTTTTTCCCTTTCAATCACATTTTAAGATGACACTATTAATTTCACAGTTGGTAATCAAATTATTCCAGCATAATATAAAACGACAATTTCTTATTTTCTGAAAACTATTTATTAACGGCATATTTCCACTTTAACAGATTATTATCAATATTAATTATCCATAAATTAAATTTATTGTTGCAATATAAATTTCATTCTCCTAGATATATATAATACAAATATTTTCAAATATACGAAAATTCAAATTTTTGCGCTCTTTCTTAGTCACTATTAGTAACTACTTATTAACTTTATTAGTAACCTATTAGTAACTAATTTTATTAGTACTTAATATATTGGTAACTAATTTGTAAATAATCACACCGCTAACGTTGTGAGATTAGTATCAGGTGAATCATCATTTTATTTGAGATAAGCGGATTTGAGAAAGGAATAGTGACACCTGACACTCTTTGCGGCCTTGTATCTTTTTCATATCTTATTGTCATATTGATTAACATTTTTGACGTAACTTACTTTTTTCAAAGTAAGTTACTTATCTAACTATAACACAGATTTACATGGGTTTGTTATTAGCCAACTAAGGGTAATTTTTTATATAGAATCAGAATCCGATGTTTTTATGATATCCTTACCTGAAAGGGCGAAACAATTTATATTTAGTATATTTGACATTCTGTAATATTGCAAAAAATTGGTTTTCTGAAAACAGATCATACCATCTACGTAAAACTACAAATCTTACCTTTCAAAACTCGGCTCCCATTCACCTCTCAATCTTTAAGCCCTGTACTTTAAATTTTTATGGAGGCCAGCTAAAGTGAAACAGCGATAATTATAAGTTTTCTTTATTGTGGTGTGAAGAACATTCCATTAAAAGTATTATTACTTCTGTCATGACGATTTATGACACTTTTCTGATCGTCAAAGTGAACGAACATCTTTTTTGAAGAAACTATTCTCTTTCTTTAGATTAGTAGTTTAGATTAAGTGAAAGAGTTTTTGGAATATTCCTTTTCACTATTTTTGGTTAAGGAAACTTTCTAGGTTTTGGAATGTGAAAAGTTAAAAACAAAAGTATTTTCCGAATATTTTTATATAAAAAATAATCGTAATGCTATCTTTATCTAAACGTTTATTACAACTCGGTAAAGAAAACTTATATTTATCATAGTTTACCATCAGCAGACCTCTTGAAAACTTCAATCTCATAATACTTGAGCCCTGCAAACTTCCAGATTATGATCTCGAAATCCGAATTTTTTTTGGAATTGACTATATAAAACTCGCACATTTCAAGATTTAATGGTTCACAATTTCAAAATTTAAGAATCTAAGGTTAAAACCTCGCTGTTTAACAGAGTTCGAAGCTTGAGGAAATTGAGATTTGAGTATCTGAGATTATAACCTGAAACGTTTACAGTTAAACAAATTGGGGCTTAAAAGTTAAAGCCTCGCAGAGTTTAAAAGTTAGAGTCTGGAGTCTTGAAGTTCAAATATTGTGGCAATTAGGATTGAGGAATCTGTTGTTACAGTTTGCTGAATTCGAATACTGTCACGAAATTACCAACATAATTAAATTTAATCAACGATATCTCGATGAAAAAAAACAAAGAGAATTGAAATTTGGAAAACAAGTTTTGAAGTTGTACTTTCAGATGGTTTGATCCATTTTCAGAAAACAAATATTTTGCAATATTACAGAACGTCAAATATATTTTTAAAAAAACTATTAAAAAAAAATTTTCAGTTTAGGATATCTCAAAAATTTGACGTGATGGACAAATTTTGACATCATATTCGGATTATACGAAAATTATATCTTCGAAAATGAGTGTCAAGCCTACCAACAATAATCATAACCCACAATATTGCAGATTTGTGTTTTTAGTAAAACAGTTTCTGGGTATTCCAAACTCACTCATCATATTAAAAATTGATATAAATAACTTTTATACGGGTAAATTAATTTATTATTATTAAATGTTTATAGTACTCTTAGAATAATTATTGCAATATTACAACATTTATTTCAATCTTGCATACTCAAATATCAGATCATCGATTAATGATAGAACGTAATCAGAACAATTCAAAAACGTAACCTGTTGTTTTTATGAAACGATTTACTCGCTGCTTCATATAATTATAAAATCAAACGGACTTACCTTATTGTAGAGTGTAATCTAAATTATATGTAAAACCTCTTTCGAAAAGATCACAATATAGTGCTTTAATGCCTTGGAATGCTACAATTTTCAGTTACACATAAAGGAAAATAACGTAACTCTCTTCGTGTATGTCACAAACGTCATTCTTTAAAGTGCCGAAAAATGTTATTACATTTTAATAAGTCGTCTGATGGACAACATTGGACGATGAAATGGGCAGGGATTCACATCTATTTGAAGGAGGTTCATTGAAGCATAACATTATATTTCGAACCTCTTTCTCGAAATCGCAAGGTAGATGTTTAAAGTAAAGTAACGGTAGCCAGTCATTTTTCAAAGTTAATAATTTTATTAAATCACATAAACACAAACTCAGTTGATAAAAACTATAAATTAAGAACTGCATTTGAAAAATGATCACGATCTTCCACAATAGCAATATTGTAAAATTTAGCAAAAATATTTGAATCTTTTGATCAACGCACAGTAGCGCGATTTCAATATGAATTCCTTGCAAAAATACTGTTGCAACCGATGCGTGACGAGTACTACGAGCTGAAAAAGTATTTGTATCGATTAAAAATGTCTTTTTGTTGAAAAAAGGATGAGTTACCACTGACTGCATACTGCCCATTCCCGTAGTCTTGATTACATGCGGGGTACTTTGATTTCTAATTTTTCTTCAGAATAGAAATGATATTCAATTCGATCAGGTACAGAGTTTGTAGTGTATGACTACAGCGAACAGCGTAATCAACTTGTATGATAAGTGTTTCACTGAAATTGAATTATTCGAAACTAAGGTGGATAAATGTTTTATAAAGCAATCAGATCATGAATAAAATGCTTCAACAAGGCATTTATCACTTTTTTGTAAGAGGAATCGATGTTATTGTTTTTCCGTTACCAACTCGATGATTTATTCCGATGTAACTACTTAATCAGTTTGCATGAATTTTCAGCACCGATGAGATCGTTACTTAGTGCATGTTTACTCGGCATTCACTCGGAGTATCATTGATTGTCAGGTATATTCCAGCCAACAGACGTGCCGAAGGCAAAGAGAAGAAAAAGAACGGCCGAGTTCTCGGCAGCCAATGCGTGCATAGAATCAGCGCTGCTCATATGAAAATCAACTCGTGGGCAAAGAGCCATCGATTGCCCGCGAGTAAAGGGAAAATTGTCGATAGCCAGAAGCGCCTCTCTCGCTCTCTCGCTCTCTGACGCACTCACACATCTAATAAAGGTCGAGGGAGCGGGGCGCGACAAAAAGAAAGCAGAGTAGCCGTGCTAATCGGCGAAACCTCACTCTGCAGGTTAAAGCGAGAGGAGAAGCTATCGCATACAGAGACGGGCAACAGCAGGAGAGGGGGCAGAGTTTGCTCCCCGCCCAAAGCTCCATTCAACCCCCCGGTGGCTCGAGGGTGGGGGTATCGCGCGCCCATTGGCTTTCTGGCTAATATGGCGGTGTCGAGCGCCCGCTGCACTCGATAGCAGACGGACCTGGAATGCTGGTGGGGGCACGTGTCGCCACCGTATGCGAGCCGGAGGGTTGCGCGTTTTAAGGGCTGCGCTCGTCGACTAGCGCGCTTAGTTTGCCGTGCGCTGTCCCGTCCGACTCTCGTTTTGGATATTTTTTTCTGGCTCTCGCTTCCTCTCGCTCTTTCTCTCTTTCTCTCTTTCTCTCTTTCTCACGCTGGCCCTGGATCCATATCGACGACTCACAATCCGTTGCGGCTGTTATTATGAGGACCAAACGTTTTTAGTTCACCGACGACGATCGACTTTGTTACTGTTCAAGTTTTATGTGTAGAACTCAGTGATCTCGTTGCGGAATACTTATCCAAAGTGGCTGCCACGATGGCGCAAACGTTCAATCAGAAGAGAAACGTCTACAGCATCGATCAGATTTTAGGACACGCCAAGAGTGACGGTGAGTGAATTTGCAATGCAAGACTGGCAGTTCGATCGACGAATTTCAAGCGAACGCTCGATATAAAAAAGAAAGGGGAAAAATCCATTGGCTCCGACGTCGAAATAGTGAAAGAGAACGAATGGTAACGCTTATACACATCGAAAGCGCCTCAACACCATTACACGAGCAAGATAATCGTCGGGCTTTTAGAAGCAATATTGTCAGGTCTGATCAATACGCGCCCGGCACATCCCATCGTGAGTTTAATCTTTCCTCGCTCGCACGAGCTCGATTGGCACGTGGTCTGCAAGCCAAAACGTATTAGTTGCAGCACCCCCTCTGCGATCGATTTTTTTTTCCTATCGGCTTGGCGGCCCGAGAGCCCGTGTATCGCTATGCAACACCCGACGCGGCTAGTTGCGAATATTGCTGGTTGCGCGTGTGCGCGATAAGAGGGCGATCGTTAGCGGCCGTTGGTTCCGATTATATTTCAGTCGGATGCGGGCCGCTATGGCGAAGCAAGTTGACGAGCGCGAGAACGCGCGGAGTGCGATGAATTCACGAGCGAAATGACTGCGCGCGTGTATGCTCGTTCGACCCCTTGTGTATACATGTTTGCGCCGAAGCCCCATTCAGTTACCGCCAACAGGTGTATAACGCACTCGCATACGTTGCGCACATTTTCAACTTTATTTCTTGAGAGTGTCATTTCAAGAATTTCTCGCATCGGCCGAAATGCAATCGCTTCGAGAATCAAGTAAACTACACCTGCATTTCGCATAAAAGACGACGTTCAGATTCAGCCTTAAAAAGGTCCTTTATTTATTTCATCACTCTTATTGTTGGTTATGGAAGTCGAGGACGTTCGTAATATGTCATTTTAACTACGGTCGACCGAAGCATCTACAACGTTACTGGATCTGTTTCTACAGGCCGCCCAAATGAATGACGCTGATCCTTGGCCCTTGCCCCTCAAGCTTGATCGTTGTCGGGGTTCGATCTTATCTCTCTCTCTCTCTCTCTTTCTTAAATCATAAAATGCTCTCATAAATCTGAAAATCTCTTGCCCGCACTACCCCATCGTTGGGCGCTTCCTCATCAAAGCACGCGCCCGAGTAAAATAATGGCAACTGCAAACATATTTTTCATCTGACGCTCGTTCGGCGTGTACCAGGCTGCGATTCGGCAAAAGGGGATGCTTGTACTTTGGCGGCAAATAGTTTCTGCCATTGTGAGCATTAAAATGTTTCCCATATTCAACGATAGTCCGTCGCCTCGATCTGGATGGTGTGTGCGCTAGGTGCGCGCCTCTCGATAAAGCTGCTCCAAATTGTGTGAAAAAGCACGACGTTTTCCATACGGCCATTTCTCGATCAAAAGAGCGCATTGAACGACGATTCCGGTCAATTAGCCGACACGGTTGCGCGTACGTTACGGGGCAAATTGCGAGGTACACGATTTCAGAAGTTAACGACGCAAAAACGCGCGCATCGAGCTCTAACATCGCCCCACGCGTATACCTCAGCTTACAACCCTTGGCGGCGAATTAAGCGTAATAATATCAAATAGAAATTGAAAACGGAGAACACGTGAAAAGCTCCCCCTCCTCCTTCTCGATTGCTGCGCGATTCCCCTTTCCCCTGTCTCTATGTATACGCGTGTATCCACGATTGCCAAACGAAGCTAAAAGCACATTTTAAAGCTCATTTCAAAGCGATATTAGCACAGTATTATGCGAGGTTACTCGCCCCTATTCCAAGTATTTCCACTAATTAGTTTAAACGAGCGTGCTCGCCTACTTTTAGTTTCGCGTGTGCGCGCTCGCGCCTATACTCCGCGCAATTATTTCCTCGTTCAAAATGTGCTCTCAATTAAAATGAAATTGCAGCTGGCCCTGCGCTTCGTCTTTCGCGAGGGGATGATGAATAAATTTTGAACAGGAAACAAAAAAAAAAGAAAGACCGTAATTTTATTTTATTTGCGCGCGCGCGTCTCGGCTCTATTTCGATTTGCGCTCGACGGGAATTCGCTAGAGGACAATCGCGAGAAACAAAGTTTGCCGAGTGTTATCAACGTTCGATTATAAGAGGATTACGCGAAACGTATAATTTTATTTTCAATGCGCTCGAAGGTGCAATTTTTATCGTTGATCGCGAAAAAAAATGTGCGCGAAACGCGGGCACGATTCCGTAGCGACGTTTAACGCTCATTAGGGCAATCGACGTAAGCGATCGATATAGTTGCGAGCGAATAATCAAACAGTGAAAGAAAAAAGGGGTGGGAGAAGAGGAGGGATATCGGATTATTACAGTAGTTGATCGCGAGGTAGCAAATCCTTCCTCATAATTATTGTGTCTGCTTTTATTGGCGCTCGATCGCTCGTATTCCGTCCCACCTCCTCGCTCCGAGCCAACGACCAGTTCAAAGGGAATATTTTTCCGATACCAGAAAATCGGGAATTAAACGCGGGCAAAGAAAGTATCGTATTATGCGACGTTATCGCAATCGAACTTCTCCTATTTTGTCTGAGGCATTTAAAGATCCTTTGAAAGGATATCGAGCTGTAATAAGGACCATTTGATACACTTATTAAAAACTTGCCAGCCTCATAGCTCATGTCTGTAATTGATTTCACGACACTGTTACCAATAAATAACATTTATTATATTTTGTTACTTGAACTTTACTCTGAAACATTGAAAAATCGGAGCAAGAGTCCCCGATGAATTTGCATTTGTATTTACAATTCGCATTAAATTCAATTTGTTGAAGAGAAAAGTAGCGCGAGATAAATCTGCGCGTGAAAAATGGTTGATAGATGCGTTAAGAGGCGACTGTCCGCTGATCGTAAACTCATCTTTCGTTCCGATAAACTTGTCGCTCTCGAACTGAGCTCCACTCTGTGAAGTGGATTTTCCTCGACTCGCCTTCTCTCTCTCTCTCTCTCTCTCTCTCTCTCTCTCTCTCTCTCTCTCTCTCTCTCTTCTGAAAAGATGAGATGCGTCAACTGTCATAACTGCACGTCCGTTATCCGTTGCCTGCGTATGGATAGAGCCAAAGAAAAATTCTCGAGCACTACTCACCCGCGTATCTCTCTACAGCCATTCGTCGGTAGATCTTCCGTTGCCTTTTCTTTTATTCGCGTTTTTAACGAGTGACTTTCTACAATTTTTTTCTCGCCTCACTGCTAAATTCTGTCCGAGTGTAATGGCACGATTAGTAATTTTCATCGTATAAGCATTCCGCGACATGTCAAAGTTGTGACATGGCTGATAGCGATTTTCGCTAGCCCCGTGCGCGGCACTGTCCTCGCATTAAAATTTAGCCGAACTGTCGCTGTGTCGGGCATTTCGAATCACACGATTCGACGGTTAAAAATTGGAGAACGGTACAGCGAAACAATTCGAAAGCGACATCGAGCACGTGCAAGCTGCGCTTCGTTAATCGTCTGCGAAGAACATCCCTGTCATACGCGCTAAACGCTCTGCGACAAATAACTCGGATGCAGCAGCAGCAGTAAGCGGCGAGCAAACATACTCTCCTGCGCATATTTGCTAATCGCCACAGTAGATACAGCAAATTCAGCAGCTCGATAAAGCTCGCGCTCCGTGCGCGCGTAGAGCAGGGACGAACGCCAAAAAAAAAAAACGTATCGCGAAGCTTAAAAATTGGCAAATCCGTCGATCAGACATCATCGATGAATCGAGAGCGCAGCGAGGAGGAGGAGGAGGAGGAGGAGGCGGCGGCGGCGCCCAAAGGCTTAAAAAATACACGCTCCGAAACGTACATACACTCGATACAAGCGAGTGGAAAAAAAGCTCGTCGTTTTATCTTTTCATCGCGAGCAATGCGCAGCAGTTGCAGGCACGCGCGGCGAGGACATCGCGTTTAGCATTGCAATCGAGATCCGTCCAGCGTTTTCATTTGCAAGCACGGGGAAGGTAACGGAATGAAATGCAGTGTTCGCAGATCGTACGACGGCAGCCGACGGCGGCAACGAGCCTGGCGACCACCAAATCGGCGACTCGCTAAACGACTCGCTCGATATCAGTGATAGCGACAGGCCGCGCAAGGTGCGCCGCTCGAGGACCACCTTCACCACGTATCAGCTGCACCAACTAGAGCGAGCGTTCGAGAAGACGCAGTATCCTGATGTTTTCACCAGAGAGGAGCTCGCTATGAGGCTAGATCTGTCCGAGGCCAGAGTTCAGGTTTGTGCGATCTCGCGACTATAATTTCATTCGAACCGAGCGACGGGCTTTCGGAGTAAAGGGAAGCCACGGTTTTGCAAGGCCGGGATAAAATAAAGCGACGGGGGCGACGCCAGCGGTGCTGGACAACTCGTGGAATGATTCGCGAGGGACTCGGGAGGGACTTCGCGATCGATCCTTTATCCGCAGCGACAGCGGCAACGCGGCGCGTCTTCCAGCCGCGACGACAGCTTGCTGCATAAGCCACGAGTACACGCGAACATAGGACTGCCCCGAGTCTCTCCTCGTCGTCGTCGTCGTCGTCGACGACGTCGACGACGGCCACTCGACTAATTACAGAGCCATTGTTCCGCAATCCGTTTTTTCCCCAGCGGCTCCTCGCCGCTCGTAATTTAGTATCAAGGCGAGCGCGCGTCTGAGCGGATTAATCATAGCGAGCCCGCCGTCAAACACTTTGTTATTATCGCGGAAAAACGCCAGCTTAATTCTTTATGTCGACGAGAGGAGAAAGGAAAAAAAACGAGAGGGGAAACTCGGCGTCGAGGAGTTTCAATTATGCGAGCGCGCCCGAGAAAATTAACTTTACGAAGGAGAGCCACCCGAGCTTATTCGGCCCAATTGCTTTGCGCTTCTACTCTCGCTCTCCTTTTACTTTTTCCCTTTTCTTTTTGTTTTCCAACGGAATTACCTGCGCCGCGCTGCTTCGCGTTATTCAGCTTACGCAATTAATGAGTGTTGTCTGTGCAGACGGGATTTTCCACGACAATGGAGTCTCCTGGCCGAGGTTATGTGATCGGTCGGCAAGTTTTCCGTTGTACCCCGAGGCGGCTCTTCCATCGTCCAACGATTGTATTTTATCCAAGTCCCGTGGGGCGTATTGACGCAAACTGTTTTCTGTCTTCAATTTTCGTCCCGACGCGAGCGTATGTAATTTTATTCCGCGAACTTCGATATAAAAGCACTCGTGGGCAGTGCTACATTCGACGACAAAAAAAATTGAAAAACAAATCATTCGAGAGGTATAATAAAGCATCGCTCTCTTGTATGACATATATCGCTTGGAGTTTATGAAATTCTGTAAAAAATCCGCGAGGCCCTGTGTTTGCAATTTAATCCTTTCACTCGAATTGTTACGCGAAAATGTGTCGACGAATCGCGTTCGTTTTTTCCTCTCCCCTGGGCTGTCGAAATAAATAAAAAAAAAAAAAAAAAACGCCCTCGATGAGAGGATTTGAAATAAAAAAAGTATCTATTGCTCTCCTTTTTTAATCAACACACCGTGCGATCCGCGCGTGCGCGCATTTGCGTATACGCGTATACTCGACGGAGCGAAAGAGTGCGTCGAAAAATATGGGAGGGAAAGAGAAAGAGGCGGAACGCGAAAATGGCCAATGGGGAATAAAAAAAATATACGGCTGGGGCGCGCATGATAGAGAGGGCTATTTGTTGCGGAGGGAAGTGGGTCTGACAATGGCCAAATAGCCTTTTCTATATCGCCGGAAAATTGCTGACTCGATTAGCCTTGTCCATCCACACCCGGCCGATGGATCTGCGCGCGGCGCGAAAGACGGGAAGGAAAATTGGCAGAAATTCGGTAGAAATAAAGGGACACAAATACGCTGGCGCGGAGTGCGACGGGGCTAAATGTATCTGGCGTGTGAGTGCAGCGATGAGAGAGAAGAGAGGCGGCATTCCGATTGGGGCCATTGTGGCGGCGCGGCCGAAGCGACAATGCCGCCAATTGGCCGTCGCTCGACAAAACCGCTAAATGATCCCCCGACTGCTGTCGCCGCCGCCGCTGCGCTGCTGCCGCCGCGCGCCACTTTATTTCAATCTAGGAAATCCTGCCTACCAATTTCAAATGCGAAATTACCCCATTTTTCGGCATTAACGGCTCGCGATCGATCGCTAATGGACGGCTTTCCGGTGTTTTATGGACCCGTCGCTCGCCTTTGTCGTATCGTACTTTCTCTCTCTCTCTCTCTCCCCCTCTCTCGACGCCACTCAGACGCGGATTTTGAATGGCACCAATTATGTCACCCCTCCTCCGCGTCCTCGACCACTCGCATTAGTTTTGATAATTATCGTCGATGCCCGTGGTTTTGTCGCGCAGCGCGAATCACAATTGTTTTTCACATGCGTGCGCAGGCCCATTACAACGATCGCCAATCGAAGTACGCGCACGTTGGGTACACTGCACGCCGGTGGAATCAAAGAGCTCAATCTGGCAAATTGACATTGCTCGTTAGCAACGCTCACGCGCATTAAGCAATAAGTCGGCGATCGACAAAAGGTTCTCTCTCTCTCTCTCTCTCTCTCTCTCTCTCTCTTTTCCCCCGCCCGCCTGCCGAGAGATGAAACTTTCGCAATTTAATAATCATTCCAAGCTACAGGCTATGTATGATAATACTCGCGCTCTCCGTGAATATATCTACTTCAAAGAGCATCGCGCACAAAAGCAATCGACTTAGTAGAGCAGAAGCGCAGCACCCCTCGTAGGCTCGAAAAAAAAAGACCGGTCGAGATGTATATAGCCCGCGCGCGCGCGGGGATCGAGTGGCTCGATTAATCGGGCGTTAAATCGATCGACACGAAAGACCACGACGCAGGGGATGCGACTCGCAGATAGGCTATCTAGGTAGTGAGTGCGTGCACGCGTGTGGGTAAGGGGGAGGGGTCTAGCTCACGATTTTTAAATCGTTAGGGGGATTATGCTCTTCCGACGGATTTGACGGCTGTTTTTGCGTGACGCAACACGGGCTTTAAGCATGCGAGTTACGTTGTGACGATTCGTCTCACCCTTGCCCCCCCCCCCTCCCCTTCTCTCTCGGCGATTAGTCTCCGATTTATTGCGCGGTCGAGGCGGCTACTCCAACCGCGATGACACGGTATTCTGAGATTGACTGCACGCCTGTCGAATTCGTCTTCGCGACACTACGAGCTTCGCGAAACGGAACTGTCGGACAATATCCAACTGTGATCGGACTACAAGGCGGCGGCTCGGAAAAGCTGGCTACGCTTATCACACCCGAGCCAATCACTTTCCCAAGCCAATTCGCTCCCGATCGGCGCGCTCGCCCATTGACCGGGCACGCAGACAGCAACAAAGAGCTGCACAGCTCGCACCCGCTCATTTTCAGACCGTACAGGTCGAGCGTGTACGCACGCTTGTGTAATACTAAAATGCAGGTTGAGGTAAGGGTTGACGCGGTGAAAGGTACGCACTGCCGGAGATTTCTCTGGCAGACAATGGAATCGCGCCGGCTGGCAGTAACGGGGGGGGGGGGGGGGGGGGGGGGCTGGCTGGCGCCGCGGAGGCCAGGAAATCAGGATAATTGTTAACAATTAGCTTAATCAGCCTGGAGAGAGCTTTTGTTGGCTCGCTGGCTGTAGCCCCGACGAACGAGTCGAGTGAGCATCATCCGTGTAGGGTTGTTACGGTCGGCTGCGAGGCTCCTCATATGTATGGACTTTCTCTGGTTTTCGGGCTTAGACGATGCCTCGCGCTGCGCGGCAAATCGATAGTGTCGATTCTAGATAAGGCTTATCAATTGATTAGTCGCTGTCTTATCGCGTTATTAAATTTTTATTTGTCCGGCTATCGGCGATCAGAGCTCTCTGGTGAATTCGACGGCGGACCACGGCTGTAATAACGATTTACAAAAGAAAAACCTCGACGCCTCGTTGGTTTCTCCTCCAATTTGGATAATCAATCACTCGTGTAACGTCGTAATGGAAAATTGCACTCTCTCGCTCGAAATAAGAAGAATAGGAAGGCGAAGCAGCAAAGTGCACAGACGCACGCATGAGCGGGGAACTGCTCTTTCGAGAAGTCGAGACTGTTCGCGGAGAGCGAGTTGCTTAAATGATTAACAGCAATTAAGCAATTGAATTTGTCGAACAGGGACGACAGAGTGGGTCGATTTGGTGCGCGCGGTCGCGCTGCATTCAATTCGATTGCCACGCGGCGGCCACTCGCAGGAAGGCCTCCAAGTCCGGATATGTATCGCCGCGCTACAGACGGGCGGAGGGGCGAGGCTATATCAGAGAGCTTTTGAATGGAAAGGGCCGTTTCATTGTTTGAACTGCTCTCTAAGACTCTGCGCGGCGCGCGGCTTGCTTTATTGTTGTCTATCGAGCCACCATGATGATCACATTATACCTACGCGCTTGCTTGCAAATCTTGTCCCAATTAGCGCTGCTCAGCCAAGTTCACGAGTGCGCACTCGCCGATGGTATCCGCGATGATTGCCAATTACTCGTGCGATTCTTTCAGCTCTGATCCGCGTGCAGTTCCTCGTTTCGGCGATATCCTGAACGTGCGTTTTTCTCCTCTCTGTGTTGCAGGTGTGGTTTCAGAATCGACGAGCCAAGTGGCGCAAGAGAGAGAAGGCCTTAGGCAGAGACACGAGCTTCATGCACGTGGAACAAGGCGGTAAGTAGTCGACATCCCTTTCAGTCCGACTCGACAGACATTCCGCCGTTGTTCGATCGCGCCTCGCTCCCGTCGTCTCGGCGTTCGGCGCAAGTCCGTAATGAGCGTTCGCTTATCAGCCCCGCGAGCGCGCTTTCGATTGGAAACGAAACGACATTCGTCAGACCCAATGTAGTCGTTGGCAATTAAGGCGCCCCCGATTAAACGTTCGGCAAACAATATTGGAAATTGGAATTCCAGCCAAGCGATCGCTCCGCCAAGTGTTCGTCCCGTATTTATATCAATAGGTCTCGCGCCAAATAAACCTTCATTACGCTCCATTGTGCGCGCGCCAAACTTTCATTTTCCGAGCGAGGAAAATTCCACGCGCGGCAAATTCCGTTAATTCGATTGCTCATTTCGCGCGCGCTTCTCGCCGATGATTGCGCGGCCGCATGCCGAACAATAAAAATTTCCATCCGCCGTCGCGCGTGAAAACAATGTGTCGGGCAAAAATAAAGTGACGTTACACGCGCGCACTTGTCGCTCTCTCTCCCTCTCTTTCTCTCTCTCTCTCTCTCTCCCTGGGGTGTCATCGAGGTGGGCGGCTGCTAGCGATAAGATCCGAAGCAATTAGGCCTAATTCCGCGCCGCCATGACAGTGTAATCCGCGCAAGGGCGTCGTGCGTGTTTCATTGGGTCACGCGTTAAACAGCCAATTCCGCTTTGATATTCGTCGCCAGGGGAGACTGTCGTACGTGGAACATTTGGTTCCGATGGAGCGCACCTCGTTTTACTTTTCCGGAGTTGGATCGATGTTGCGCGCGCGCGCGACGGTCTGCGAATGCAATTGGCAGCAAGCACAAGCGACTCGGCAGGACTTGGGTTTGCCGCGATCGAACGCAGACGAGACGGGAAACGGTGGAAACGCCGGCGGAGCGCGCGCGTTATCCACGGAAATGAGGCGTCGAGGAGTAATGTTGACGAGCGGCAATTAGGCTATTGTGCGGCGCAACGGGTACCTTGCCGGGCGCGGCTGCAAAAGCGAAAATTGATAACACATTCGACGAGGGGCGGCGGGGCAGGCTCTGAAATTGGTTTGTCACGCAGCACCGGCCGCAATTAAACCGCTCGCCTCTGTCTCTCTATCGCGCGCTTTACATCGCGGCTTTTTATGCGCTGCGCCAGCGGGTAGAGCGCGGTAATTGATAGGTAGGGCGCGTGACGTCGCCCTGATAAATCCACGTCGGGCGAGGACGTTATTACTTTGCGCAATTAACGTCGAGCCATTAACGAGCGAGCGCCGGAGCGGCCCGCGAGGCTGTTAGAATTTTTACGAGGACGGCGAGAGCCACGCGAAAACTCGCGGCCCTCGGCCGAGTACACTGCCGGTCGACTCAAGGCCCCTCTTTGGGCGTCGCTGTTGCAGGGGTGAGCGAGCTGTCGCTGCACGCGCACCTGCTGCAGAGCGCGGGCGGCCTGCCGAGTAGCCCCGGCGAGGCAGGCAACGCGCACGCGGCGGCCGCCGGCTTCCCCTGGTTCATGCCGCCCGTCTTCCCGCCGCCGTGGCCGACGAGCGCGCCCAAGCTGCCGCCGCTGCACGCGATACTCTCGCAGTACATCGGCCTGCCGCTGCCCGCGGGCCTGGGCCTGCCGGTCGTGCATCCGCACCACGCGGCCGCCGTCGCCGCCGCGCTCGACAGGCAGCAGCAGCAGCAGCAGCAGCAGCAGCAGCAGACGTCCGCGGCGCAGAGCAACGGCGGCCCCCTGAACCTCGGCGTTCCGCAGAGCCTGCCGCAGAACCTCAGCAGCAAGAAGAGGGAAAGGCCCGACGAAGACTCGGCCTCCGACGACGATGAGCTCAGGCGGCACAGCGTCGAGCTGCTCAGGGTGAAGGCCGAGGAGGTGATGCGCAAGAACGACAATTAGACAATTAGACGGTCGACGTCGTCCTGCTTCATTTTTTTTTGGTCTCCTTTGCTTTTGCCGCTTTCCGTTGATCGCCGTCGGTATCATGGCCACGAGGACAATAAACGCCAGTTCGCCAGCTTTTTCCACTTGCCGCCTGCTGTTACCGCGTAATCATTTCTTCCTTCGTGATCCGACCTGCGTTCTCGGACATTGTATTCGACGGATACATCGCAGATAACGATTTATTCTTTCGATATACGAGCGACAATAATTACTCTAGCGGAAATTATATTTTCATGTACTCAACGGCTGCTATACGACGCTAAAATAATAACGCCAAGTATTTCAAGATTTAATCGCTCTCGCTCCCTCTTTTTCTATTTTAGTTGTTTGAATGCTAATTGTGCATGAAATGCGAACGCGGAGTCAATTTCTTTTTTCGTTCGCTGGCGTTTGTGCTCCTTTCTTTTCGCGCTTGAACGGCACTCAAGCGAGCTGCTTTTATTTCCGAACGAAACTATTGCCGACACGAGTATACCAAAAAATTAGGCTTCAATTTTCGCGCGAAATAAGCGCATAAATTTATATAGCGAATTGGAAGGTTTTTGTTGTCAGGAAAATCATTATTATATGCTTGTATCGGCCGTCAGAAATCTAATATTACATATAACGATAATGTATACGTAATGAAAACGAAAAAATTACCCAATTATTAAATTATAATAAAGATAGTTTGTTGCATTAATCGCGCGTAAAAAATATTCGAATATAATTTTATATATTATAAGATACAATTGTAAATATTTTCTCAATATCCTTTATAAATAATACACCGAAATCGAGAAGTATCATAAATTATATATACATATATATATATATATATATACAATATATAATATATGATAGAACGTAAAATTGTCTGAGTGTATATTTTGTATCCATTCGTAAAAAAGTCTAAGTATGATAAGGTATTTGACTATGGTCTTGTATAAATAATTAGCTTATTTCTCGGATTTCTCATCGGAATCGGATAGAACGGATGAGGCGTTTGAATTGTATCCACTTGTAGATAAAGTTATTGTTGACTTGTTGAAAATTTTTGTTGTGACTGATATGTTTGTGCTAACAGATAAGATTAACCGGTCACAGGCTGTAGGACCTATGCAATATGTGAAACACGATACAAAAATAACGTTTGGTATTTTTTTACAAAATTGACAAGGACGCGCTGCATTGTGGGCGTTGATATCCACAGGAAACGAAAGTGAATTATGTAAAAAAAAAAAAAAACAAAAAGTGGTAAAAGCTCTCGCATTAATATTCCACAACTAACGAAGCCGATAGACACGTAGATTGCCAGCAAAGCTAGCAATCGATATAAAAATGTAAGTCAAAGCAAGCGCCAGTCGCGCTTACTCTTGTAATATAATATACTGTACGATACTATCATGTAATGTATGTGCGTGTGTGTAAATAGGTAGATATCTCCTACTGCGTTAACTAGAACAAAGAAATACATCAGCAGATACTATCAATCAGAACTTTATTTGTTGGTTTTTTCCCCATCCTAATTTCCTGTTCGTTTATGTGAGTTTTATTTGAAGCCTGGCCAGACAAACACACGTCTGGCTATGCAAATCAAAAGCAAAATTGAATGCTCATTGATAAGTTTTACGACCAATCGGATGAATATGGCGTTTATTTTCTTAACTCGGACTTCATCTAACTGAGCTCTGCATCGACGTCGGCCTTCGCTCGTTGGTTTAATACGATTCCTGGAGGCGAGATATTCGTCAACGTCAGGCGCGAGCGATAAATCGGGGAAAAATTCAGCGTTATTACGAGGGGCAACCCCAGCGGCAGACACAGAGAAAAGGGTAAACTTGCACTCGCTCGGCCGTATTCCCACGCGCTTTGAGTAAACGTATCCACGATTCGGGTAAACATCGTATCTCCACCGTGGTAACTTTATTTGCGGGCTTGCTGTTTGATCTCTGAGCGTATGAATCACGCTTACTTTAATATTGTCATCGATGAGAATCGGCACCTCAGTTATTTCTACATTACGCGTATCGACGCGCGAGTATTAAAATCAGAAAAGCAATTGCAAGCAAATGTTTATTTGTCGCCTATGATTACAAGGATATATATATACACGCATATACGCGCTCGTTTGGGCGTACAGCACGAGTCTAGCGGAGACACGCACAATGGCAATTACTGGGTGCTGCTAGTTTATCAGAAATTCATTGGGGGAGAGGGAGAGGGGCAGCTTTGAAAAAAAGCGAGTTATTATGTGTCATTGGCTCGCGCTGATCATTAATGCGACTCATCGCTCGAGCGGGCGTCCGTTATTATTACGTCGCTGCCGTCACCTGGCTGCGACCTACCGACCCTTTCGTATCGACGCGTTAATTCACTGAACTTTTTGTCGTATCCCCTCTTTTCGATGTCTTCCTGAACCTACCTACCTGCCTCGACGTTTGCAAACGTTTCGCGCGCGTTCGCCGTGGCGAGCTGGCAACATTTCGCCGGAGGTCCAACTCATTTATGTACCCATTGACAATTCAGTGCTCGCATCAATCTCATTTAAAAGCTGGCTCTAATCGTACGTCACAATCGACCGTTGCATTACAGAATATACGTACATTACAGAATATACGTACAATTTCAATGCGATCTTGGCGTTCAATTCTTATTGTTCTTCTCGTTCGAATTCAATCGAGTTAAATTTCATCGTTTCATAACTAGCCATTAGGGCATCGCAGCAGCGTTTGAAAAATTGAAAATTGATTCCATTTCGAGTATGCGAAGTCCGACGTTCGCTAACTTCAGCTTACTGCATTTACCGTATTATTGGAATTCGCGCGATCGATCAATGAAAGTACCGTGAAAAGAATCGGAAAGGTAATCATCTCTTTTTCCACTTGAAAAAGAAAACTATAATTACTCGTAGGAACATAAAATTAGAGGAACGTGGATACTTGGCGAACATCGTAATCTGGGAAGTACGTATAGTGGAGCTTGGAAAGGAGGAGCTACGTAGAACGTAGAGCCGTCGCGTCGGGTGGGTGAATTTCCGGAAGGAAGGCTGAGAAGCTCTCTCTCTCTCTCTCTCAGTCGGTGCTTCGAAGGTAGCTTGCTCGGTTGCTTGCTACGTCGGCTACGAAGGACAATTAGATTAAAAGCAGCGCCTCTCGCGGCTGCTCGAGATCCATTAGTGCCCATTGTGACGGCCCATTTTCAACTCTCTCCCCCTCTCGCCCTTCTGCTAGGCAGCCTCAATCTCGAACGCCGAGGTACTTATTCTCAATAGTAATATGCTCACTTCATATCTCGCGCCGTCGACGCGGATTTTTGTCGCCAGCGCTGAATGTACACCCGCCACTTCGTTCCTTTCTCTTTCGAGCTTTTGTTCGACTTCAATGTGCATGCGCTTTTTTTCTTTTTCTTTTTGTTGTTGCCACCGCTGCTCCGCGGCTTTGTGCCGAATATGATTAAACGCCATCTCGTATAAATTCGCGAGCAATTGTCCGACAATCGATTTGTTTCGTGCAATTACGTAGGCATGTGGTGACACTCAAAGTGGATTGGTATCTTGGCTTTGATCTTAAGATTAATGGCGTTGATATCGCTGTACGTTTTAATTTCTTTCGTTTAGGTGGTTTGCAAAATTTTATTTCTTTTTCAGTTTTCGACCTAGAGCTCTAACATTTTTGCACATTTATTTTTGAATTTAACACGCGCATGATATTTGGTCGAAATATTTGTTCTAAGGCTCATTTGCTTCATTGGAACAACCAATCTCAAACTCACATACGAATAAGAATATATTCAAAAATATCATTTTCATCTTAATTTTTAACGGCTTACGTCAGTTTACGACGATTTAATAAGCTTTACTTTATCGAAGGAAATGAGTCCTCGAAATATTCAGGTCAAAATTTAACATGGACAGGTAAATTAAAAAAAAGCCTGCTACTAAAAAACGGTCAATCAATTTTATGCGTTCATAAACCGGGATAGAATTACGTGGTCTTAAAAGGTTTTTTTATGAAGTGATAAAAATTTTAGAACCCTGTCTAGGGAGCTGGAAACGCTGTATCTGAACACTTTGTTGAACAGAGAATCAAAAAAAGTTGGAGTCACTAGACGAGGTAATCCCCGCGATACGGGCATGTCTGGCGCGCGCGCACACACACCACGCACGCGTGCGTGTTGAGCGAAGGCCGCAATTTCGACCTTACATATTTCAGGGCTCACCGTGCGGATGTGCAGGATGGGCGCGAGGTGCGCGGCAAGTGGCAAATGCCCCGCTCAAAAGATTTCATTGGTCGCAGCGCCGCGCCTTGGGAATCAGCACTCGTCTCCTCCTCCTCCTCCTCCTCGCGTAATCACACTGTGAATGACACCAATTAGTGCATCCGCATCAATGCATCGCCGACGTCTTTTCACTCGCGGCTTCTCTGCTAATCACCTCTCTCTCTCTCTCTCTTTCTCTTCACCCTTCTGCCCGTGCGACTTTTTTCTGTTCTCCTAAACACGCGTAATAACCGCGAGGTGTAATGGCGAGCGATTAATGCCGCGCCTCGCGGCTTCTTAGCTCCGCTCTCGTTTTTCTCTCGCGAGGCAAACAATGAACAGGCCAACGAGAATGTATTTCTCTCCGGCGCGGCGTTTCAACGATAAACGCTTGCGAACGAGGTTTCGCGCGCGCGCAATTGGGGTTTCATCGCGCGGTCGTCTGCTCGCTCGATGGTTTCGGTTGACCGCGCCAACGGGCGTTCGGCTCCACTCGCCGCCGAAAGAGTTGACGCGAGAGAAAAGTCGCTCGGCGCCTCGCCAAGTTCTCACGCGCGCGGCTCTCGGCGCGCGGCGAGCAGTCATCGGGGCGGCCGAATAAATCGATGCAGCGGCCCGCAAGCCCGTCGCCGTTATCGGGACTCGCATAACAATGGTCCGAGCACGGCAAACGGACTGTTTGAAAACACGAGATTGTCCCGCCGAAAAGTCGGGAAGGTGCATTCTCGCGATTCGCGCACCTTGAGAACACGCCGAGTCACACGGTGTTAAGCTGAGTGTACGGTTATGCTTAAAAATTAGCGTTATTATGATCCCGCGCCTAATTCAATACGCGCGGCGTACACACTTGATTAAGGCCATTAAGAGGCAACTGGGCATTCAGGCCATGCAGCACGGCGCGCGCGCTCTGGCAATTGCGCTTCTCCCACCTTCCGCCTCTCGATCATCGACAATGCCGCGAGAGCCTGTAACCAATCCCTCTCACATCTTTATGTACTCGCTCGGTCGTTTCTGCCCTTTTTCATTTATTCTCTCGGCTTCTTTTCCGCCTCGCTTTGCCCTGGCGACATTCGATTCCGGCGCCAAGTGTCGCCAAGACTTTTTCATTTGGAGCAACAGCTGTCGAGTATCGTTGGTTGCAACTTTTCTCGCGAGCATCGCGGGCCCTTCGGCTTTATCTATTTTTCAAACTTGCGTTATCGCGATATGGACAATGAGCGTTGGCACGAGCTAGATCCATTGAATTCTTTCGACACCCTGATTCGAAAGCTCGATAATTCAATTATGACCACTGGTATAAATAACAATCAAATTATAACGGTCTTACGAGCTTATCCCGAAAAACTACCGACAACACTTAATCATTGCCCCTCTGTTAACCCACTATGGTTTGGGAGATTCCATGTAAGATTTTAACGATCAATAATTTCAAAAATTCGACCGCAAGGACGAGAGAAACGCCTAATTTT